GTGGGAGTCTGGAACAAGCTACCGAACCATGTTGGTGGCGCTGATAACCTGGCTTCCTTAAAGAAACGGCTGAATGAGATCGTTACTATATTATTAACTGCTCTCCAGTTTAGCCACCCTGGAAGTGTTGAGACTTGTCGTTGTTATATAATATGCAAGCAGCACAAGATGTGCACACCAGCTGACTTAAGTACAGATATTAAATAGTCTTGGTGGTGCAGCCACCAGGCCTTTGTCTGCTGTAACTGCCCCGAGCATGCTGCTGCCCCTCAGCTGTGTGTGGGAGTGGGGAGGAGTGTGTGCCTGTCTCCTGCCTTGCAGGTGCTCCTCGGCTGTCACAGGTGCGGCAGACTGACAGCGCGGCGTGTCTGTGTTCCAGGTGCTGAGGCAGGGGATCCGCTGTGCCTCTATGTGTTCAGCCAGGCCGGCCGGATCTTGGCTCAGCACGTGGTGGCTGTGCTGCCCAGAGCTCATGAGGTGAGCAGCTACCTCCCTAGAGACGCCAGTACAGAGCCGTCTCCCACAGTGTCCAGCTAGTGACATCTCCTTCCACACAGTGGGGGAAAATCACAAGTTACTTCGGTAACTGGCGCCAACCAAATTAATGATTTGATGATCGCACTGTCAGTTTATCATTGGTCCTCTACAATGATCTCTGCATTGACATTTTGACATCGGAAGTTAATTTTATTTTTCACAGAAGATCCTGTGAAAAGGCAATTCTGCATTCATTAAACAAAAAAGACAAGTTACGTAGTCTTGAAAGGATGAAGATATCGGCTATAAAAGATTAAAGCAGTAAAATCACTTCGGATAATAATAAGAAAATCAGTTTAAAAATGTTTCCATCTGTATCAGATGTCCCTTTTACATTGTAATTTAAAGAAAATTGTATTATATTTCTGAGCAATTTGTCATTATTTTTAACATTTCCAACATTAAAATATGAACTCCCAAATCTTTGCTGATTTATCTACAATACAAAATTCAGCTTCTGTATGTACTGGCATGTAATCCAAGCACGTTTTCAGCAAAAAAATGCAGACTTAAATTGGAATTATTCTAAAAACATAACATGTAACAGGGTAAGCATGTTGTGTTTTTGTCACTTTTTAGTGAAAATAAAATCCCCAAGAATCGCCAGTAAATTCGAAGCCCCAGCTGATAAGAGACATCTCATTTTAGTAGGCATGTATGCATCGCAGAATAACAGCTTCATTTCAGGCCACTGCAAAGCTCTTTGTGCAGTGTGAGTAACCCTGCACGGAACTCTCATTATTAAACATGAAACATCGACACGTCATCCCTGCAGACCTGTTGGGAATGGTCAGTGAAACCCGAACGCGAGGGCACCAGTGGAAACTGTGGAAGAGTGTTTAAAACCTCTCTTAACTCAAAGGTTTGTGGAACAAGCTGCACAGCTGTGTTCCTGAAGCTGATACCCTGGTTTCTTTCAAGAAACGCCTGGAAAAGATCCTCCTA